GACTTTGGAGAAAGTGAGGTTAATGTCTGTCTCTATTTTCTGCAACCTATCCCAGTTCATGAATTGCTTCCATCTCTCCCATTCCCTGCTTTCTCTCCAAAATGTTTATGTATGGTTGTTTAGGGTTCAGTTCCAGATGCTGGTTATTGCCTTGAAAGCCACTTAAGGCAGAAGGCCGAGTTATTTGTGGGGCTGTTTGTCTCCAGTTCTTTCCACTTTCCACGAGATCCCACATGCAAGGGTAGGCATGTTCCACATCCCTTCGGTTAAAACAATGCTACCTGGTGGGACCCAGAAGTGCCTCTGCACCTCTCCAGTGCAAAACAGTGCAACCCCTAACACCTTAGTGGCCCCAAAGACCTGGGTTTTTTTCTATACTGTGTGAGTGATGTATTTTTCATTTTTGTTTTGGTGATTTTTTTTGCCCAAGTAACATGGCAAGTGGGCAGATATATACATTGAATGAAGAGCATATTGGAGCATTGAGTAAATGCCAAGTACAGACATATACACACACACAAATCCCCTCAGTTGTTTCAGTAAATTATTTATGGTAAATATGCTTGATTTGTCTGCATACAAAGAGGAAGTGAAATTTGGACCTCTAAACTGTCAAACAAAGTGAAACACTAGTCCACTTTTGTATAATCATCAATTTTAAAGTAACCAGCAGGCAACTCAAAGATCAGCAAAAAGAGGCTATTGAAGTAACAATGTGCTTACTACCATAATTATTTTTATTAGGCTGTGAAAAATAATTATACCTTAGTTGTGAGTCAAAGTTCCGTGTGTTCTTAGTTACTGCTTCTCAACTGTGGTAGTCCAGGAAGAAGACCGCCTGGGAGGAGAATGCCATTAGAACGATAGTAGGCCATGAGGAGGCTGGTTTTTTGCTCGTCTGGCCCAAGGGAAGGGTACCTGTTAGCAGAAGCCTCAACATGTAAACAGCACAACACATTTCTTGAAATATTCTTCCATGGAGCAATTGCTTTAATTGATCAGTTTTATTTGTGGTCAAAAGATCTGTCCCTTCCAACTCTTATTTGGAATAGGGTTTCTCTAAAACAGTGGTTCTCAACCTTTCTAATGCCGCGACTCCATAATACAGTTCCCCATGTTGTGGTGACCCCCAACCACTTATACATCGCTGGGTGCCAGGGGCGTGGCCAAGTGGGTGTGGCCACCAAGTGGGCGTGGCCACCATATTATGGTGACCCCCCCAACCATAAAATTATTTTTGTTGCTACTTCATAACTGTAATTTTGCTACTGTTATGAATAGTAATGTAAATATCTGATATGCAGGGTGTATTTTCATTGTTACGAATTGAACATAATTAAAGCATAGTGATTAATCACAAAAACAATATAGCAATGCTCGCTGGAGAAGCTTACTCTTCCTTGCTCAAAAATGTTNAGGAAGGAAGGAGAGATTGAAGGGGAAGGGAAGGAGATGGATGGAAGGAAGGAAGGAAATTGAAAGGGAAGGAGATGGATGGATGGAAGGAAGGAAGGAAGGAGAGATTGAAGGGGAAGGGAAGGAGATGGATGGAAGGAAGGAAAGAAGGAAGGAAGGAAGGAGAGATTGAAGGGGAAGGGAAGGAGATGGATGGATGGATGGATGGAAGGAAGGAAGGAAGGAAGGAATGATCTTTGGAGAGTCATGTTTTCCCAAATGGTGATGAACTGCAACTCCCAGCATTCCCCACTCTTCCAAGTGCTTTTTAGGGCTGCTGGGGATGGTAGTCCAGTAAGGTCTGGAGACACACACAGATGCCCTAGCAGGGAAAATTGGTTGGGTAATTGCTGCGGCTTTACTTGGAGGCATTCTGCAGCTCCTGAAAATCACTTTAACCAATTTTCCCTGGTTCAGCAAAGGCAACAAGTAATAAAACAAGCAACAGGTACCGGTAATAAAATAGCCCAAATTCTCCTTTCCAGCGCAGATGAAAAGAACCAGGGAAAGGGAAATCGCGTCTGCCTCTTTGACCAACGGGAGGAGAAGTGGTAGGAAAAGCGCAGCGTTTCGGCTTGGGCACACAGCCTTGCCTTCAGGCGCTGCCAAAGACACACAAGCAGCTCCGCACAATTGCCTGGGGAGGGGGGGAGGCTCTGGCGGAGAGCCTGGCGGAGAGCCAAGCGGTGTCACCTCCGGGGCCTCAGAAGCCGCGCGGAGGATCCGTGTGCCTCGGAGCCGCTGGCCGTCCTCTTGCACCCGCCAACCTGGAGCCCTCCATCCTTATCCCGGCACCTCTTGCCCTCTCCCAGCCGCCCCTCCGGGACCTGCCCACCCCTCCAGCCTCCTAAGCGCCATCGCAGCGGTGGGGTCGCGGGAGCCCCTTTCCACGCCGCGCAGCCCTTCACCGCCAAACCCTTCCCCGATTCGTCACACACGAGAGGGGCGCGGCCGGAGCGCCAGCTCCCGCTCGGAAGGCGCCGTTTCTCCCCTCCCGGGCCAGCTGGCTGGCCTCCGACACACATGTGGGCATCCCCGCCGCCTGGCCGCTTCTGAGACCTAGAGCCCGGCGAGCCAGGAAGGAGCTGCTCCTGCCCGCCAGCCCCAGGGCTGCACCGGGCGCCGGAGGGCCAAGGCGGCCTCCGATGGCAAGGGAGGTGGGCCGGGTGGTGGGGGGAGGCTTCGGCGCGACACGAAGGGCGACCGGGCAACCAGGAGGCGTGGGGACCGGCTCAGCTCAGCTCCCTCTCTCTATTTCTCTCTCCCTCTCAAAGATCCTTAAAATCCTTAAAAGTTAAGCTTGGGCGGAAGATTTTTTTCTTTTACAGATGGCGTGGGTGGGCCCGACATTCACGGGCAGGCAGGACCACGCCCGCCGAGCCGTCACCTCCCCACCACCCTCCACGCCAGCCGGCTCCATTGCCGGACCTCCCAGCTGACAAGCGCAGGCGAGCCGGGAAGGAGCTGCTCCTGCCCGCCAGCCCCAGGGCTGCGCTGAGTGCCAGAGGGCCAAGGCAGCCTCCGACGGTGAGGGAGGTGGGCTGGGTGGTGGGGGGAGGCTCCGGCGCGGCACGGAGGGCGGCCGGGCAACCAGGAGGCGTCAGCTCCCTCTCCCAAGCATAACGCCAGCAGTTCTGTGACACGGGGGCTTGAGGCATGGAGGCACGGGATGCGGAGCGGCGCCGTGGGAGGCAGCAGGACAGGGGGGAGGGTTTACCTGCATCCTGCCAGCCGACCTCTGGAAGCCTGCCTGAATGACAACTTTTAGGGGGTGTTGAAAGCGAGACAGACTTAGGGCTGTATTAAGACCATAAATGGCTGCTTAAGGAGAGTGGAAGGGAGGCGAATTCGGGGTGGAGCAGAAAACACGGGGGGGGGGGAGAAGGCATTAGGAAATAAGCACCAAGGTACCTGGTGCCTTGCAAGGGATTCCCGAGTGTTCCACAATTGTTTTTCCTCTCTCCTCTGCGTGAGAAAAACTTTTGCGGCGTAAATCTGAAATGAGTCCCTGGGGAGGGCTGGGCCTTGCTCTGCGCCTGCGCTCTTCACACGCCTCCTGCAGGGCACATTTGGTAAAGTTCGTGCATGCAGGCTGCCGCCAAGCAGAGGGAGTAGCACAGCTAAGGAAAAGGGTAAAAAAAAATGGCGGACTGCGTTGTTTGGCGACCCCCGTGAAATGGTCGTTCGACCCCAAATGGGGTCGCGACCCACAGGTTGAGAACCGCTGCTCGAAGAAATACTTGCCTTCTAATCGGCTCCTCTACCGTGGTGTGGTGGAGCTTCAGTTGCACAGCATCTTGTCTAGCTTAGCTAGAAATGAGGTTCTTTGTATTTTGCCTGAATTCAAGTAGTTTAGAAGTAAATGAAATACTCAGATTTATGCAGAACATAGTTTTGGTGACTGTTTTTTTTAATCAGCTTGCCTTGGTTGCATAGGAGTTGCATCTGGGGCTGAGAGTACAGCTCCTCCCACTTTATTCTCTACAAAAAAGCAAAACAAAGTACAGGGCTAGAGATGCCCTTCCTTGCAAGGATCTGATGAAGGTTCAGCTGGGATTGCTTTTCTGCCTGGAGCTCAGGGAATCTGAAGGGTTGGGCCTGGGGTGTGAGCAAACCATCCCCCATTGCCAGTTGTGCTGTCAGAAGGGGCAATGGAAGAGTACGTGCAATACCGTGCAATACCGTAGAGTAATGTGAAAATCAAAGGGTAGTAAAGCTATTTGTTGCCTTAATTTAGATACAATTGGATTTGCATAATTTTGTGTATTTTATACAGAAGAAGCTGCAGCACTCCAAATATCTGTTTATCAAGGGCTGATTTTCCAAGAAAAATAAAATACACTGATCTCTGCTGTTAAAAAATAATTTGATTAAACCTGTTAATTAAATAAATAATGCACTAATTAAACTGTTTAAATCACTGTTTACCAAACTATTTTGTAGTTTTTCCAGTTGTTCATTCACAGCAAGTCTAATTGTATAGCGTTTGGCAGAAGGCAGTTGAGTGGAATATTGTGGTGGCCTCACCACCAAATAAGCTTCTTGGCTTTCCCAAGGTTGCTTTTTTGAGATGCTGCCAGGATGACTATCAGTCTAATTGTAATTATGCAGATATGCTGTATATATACATATATATACATATACACACCCGTATGTGTATAAAAAATCACAGTCCATTTTGAACACATAGTGGAAAAAGAAGTCTTGGAAGTTAACAAGGTTGAGCCTATAGGGTGCAAAACTATAAGGAGGTCTGGTCTTGTTCTTTTTAACAGCAACAGACAAATGGAATTTGCTTCACATAGCAAAATAATTTTGGTCCTGAAAAATATCAGCAAGTTGTGCTTTGTATGCTATCAAGTATGTCAAACAGTTGAAGTATTCTTAAGTTTTTTGTCTTCTTCCAAATTATTTATTGCTTTTGTTAAAAGAAACATTGTGCTGGTTTTTATTTATATTCCCTTTTAAAATTTAAAATGCTGTCATTAGGAAGTTCTCAGCATGTCTATAATGGACATTCATTTTTAAGTTTGTTTGCTTTCTAGGAAAAGCCTCTGAGAGGAATCAGTTCCCAATGTTTGGTCGAGATGCTGGGCTCTCAGGCTGTCAGGTAGATCTGCCATTTAAAGAGTTGCTGTTAGTTTTTTTTTTCTCTTTGAAATTCTTAATACAAATTACACACACACATCTACACGTTTACAATACAGTAGTAATAGATCAACACATTATCTTTATATTTCAAGTCTCTTGAAGTTGTGGCAGAACAAAGTTTCCTGCATTATTTGTTAGATTTCTACCTTATCCTTCCTCTAGAAGCTCCAGACAGTGTACATGGCATTCCTGTTTTTTGTTACAAATATAATTTTCTGGGAGCAGATTGGGCTGAAGGAAAATGACCAGAATCTGAGTCTCCCCATTCTCAGGCAAACTACCTTTCCTCAACAGCTTTGATCTGCATTCGAGACAGAGGAACCAGAAATTCCAAATATTATGGTATATGTTTTTACTCAAAGATTATTAGGCTTCTTTTTACCCAACTTTCAAAGAAATAAAATGAAAAGGTATCAGCAAATGTCAGTATTTCACTATTTAGTTGCCATTGCATAATTTAGTCTATATTTTGTTCCAGACTGCAGCCTCTTCCATTTTTTTCCCTATAAAACAAAATCCCAAGCTCAATCTCTTGAACAGGGATTGCATGAGAGCTTGTCAGGAAACATGGAGGGAAGACTTCAAGCAACTCCAAGCAGCATGAAGAATGAAGGCATCTTGTAGTAATCTGCATAATAAAATCCTCTTCTCTGAGGAGAACGCAAACCATACTTGATGGAAGTACAATTTTGTGTCCTCTTTGGAGAGGGTGGTGAAAGGCTTAATTGGGGAATTTTTGCTCTAGAGACCATTGGGAAAGATCAGAAATTCTTGAGCAGGGTGGGAGAAGCTCCTGAATAGGTACAGAAAAGTGAACCTTGCTTGGAAACCTAAGGAGGAAGCCCATGATGCACCCAAGCCAAAGATCAGGAGGCCCCCAGTGCTGATTGAATTTAACCCTGGACTCAGGTTTCGCCTTGGAAGAACGTCTTCAACCCTCTGACCATGCCCTATCACCACAGCCTCACAGAAGGCCTCGAAGCCTTGGAGACCAAATGGGCCTATAAGGAGTATCGGGTAACTAGGCTGGAAATAGCATTTCAAAGAAGTGCTTTGGAATGAAGAGCAGCATATGTGAAATACCTCCGTTTAACTTTTGAAGGGGGCCACTTTTTTTCAAAGACTTGGTTGTAAGTTTAGAAAATGAGGTTGGCTGGAGGACTTCCATTGGTGTACACATATCACATTGAGCCAAACTTCATGGGGAGAGCAGAGACAATTAGAAGTGATCAAGAAGAAGTGAGATCTTGATAATACCAAGCTTCTCTACTGCTATCAGTGTTACTTATAGGAGGAGTAATGGCCTCTGGATGGAATTGTAATGGCCTCTGGATAGGATGGCCTCTGGATGGAATTGATATTAATATTGCTTTTCTTTTATTTTTGCAAGGCAGTAAAATAAATATGATGAGTTAACTACATCTATATTAATTTTAATTTTTAATTTGGCAAGCTGTAGTAATTCATATAAACTTGGTGTTGTTTTTTTTCAACAGTTGGTAGGAGTAGAAAAGAAACCTTATGTCTTTGAGTAAAATCCTTTTTAGCAATAGCAATTAGACTTATATACTGCTCCGCACTGCTTTATAGCCCTCTCTAAGCGCTTTACAGAGTCAGCATATTGCCCCCAACAATCTGGGTCCTCATTTTACTGACCTCAGAAGGATGGAAGGCTAAATCAACCTTGAGCCAGTCAGGATCAAACTTCTGCCAGTGGGCAGAGGCAGCCTGTAATATTGCCTTCTAAACTTTGTGCCACCAGAGCCTTCCTTATTATTATGAAACTAGAAAGTTATCTAAAAGTGGCCGTAATCAGAGCACATTAAACTAAAATATGCTTATTATTCTGTGAACTTAGCCATTATGAGTTACAAAACATAGTTTAGTGCTTTGTTTTCCAAAAGTTAAACCTTTGTTTTCCAAAAAGTCTTCTGAATTTTTATAAGGATTGCTTCTTTGTCTTAATAAAATGGGCAAACTCTGCCAACCTGCACAGCTGTTTCCATTGATGGTGATAATCACTTCCTGCCACTATATAAACAGAGTCAGGTATCGCTTGTTTTGTTTACAGACAAGCCTGCTTCGATCTGACATTGGTGTTGGAAGCCCAGGTCCCCTGCCTTGCTCAGGAAAAACTGGAACACCATATTATCCATTTTCCTCTGCAAATCCACGACGAAGGCCCCTTCATGATTCATCTTCCCTTGGTGAGTCAGTCATTTGTGCTCCTTTTCCCCCAGGGAACACATCAGATTACAGACCTCATTTCTTGGGTAAGATGCATTTCAGAAATCCTTGCGTTACAAATGGTAGCAAGGAAGAGGAAGAAGTTGCAGAAGGGAACTGTGCTTTAATAGCCTGCGGAGTAGAACTTGGTGATAATTGCTCCAACTTTCTCCTTTGCCCCATCCCCACCCCAAATTCACACAGAATATTTTTAGCACTAGAGTGTGGGTGTAAAAGAGAGAGAGAGGTGTATTTTCAAGTCTAGATAATAGTGTAAATTGCTTATTTCCTCATCAAATTATTCGATTTAATTATCGAATAATTCAGTGTTATTCTTTGAAGAAAGGAATTTGTTGTAATTTATACTGAGAAAGCACATTTGGAATGTCCTTCATATTACAAATTCAAGACAATTCTGATGATAGCTGTTGAAGGACTTCACCCAGTGGCTTTAAGTAGAGGTTGAACTATATGCTCCTGATCTTCTGAGTTCCTTTTGCACTGTGTTGTGTCACTTTACTTCAGTACTGCTACATTTTCCTGTTAATTAAAGCATTTTTTTTCTGTGCAGATTCTCTGCAGACAAAAAAAGTAAGGAAGGTGCCTCCTGGTTTGCCATCTTCTGTAAGTCTTAGAGGTTTTTAACCTTTTAATAAGAAGCACACACCTATATATCTAGCTATTGTTAACTTTCTTAGTCATAAAGATTCAAGCTTGTCATCAAGGAAGGAGACAAAAAATAAAACTGCAGTGCAATCCTGTGGCCCATTATGCAGAAGAAAAAAGTGTCATGGCCGTACGTTGCCTTAAATTTGGGCAGAGAAAGGATGCCAGAGAAACCTGTGAATATACGGGGGGGGGGGGGGGGGGGGGGGGGGG